GGGGGGGGGGGGGGGGGGGGAAGTGTTTTTGAAGATTTAGTTTTATTTCTCATTACTCTGATTGGCAATAAATTAATTTACCCAAGTTGACTACGTTTTGCCCGTGATGGCAATTGGTGATAGGTCCCTGTCATTATCTCGACCCATGAAATAACACTTATATCCCCCAATATAACCCTTTCATAATATTTTCTTTCACCTGTCCAGGGGAGGAGGCGAGTGATGGACCAGCTTTGGTGGGGATCTGGTGTCCAGCCAGGGTCAACCCAGCACAGGCACCTCTTCCAGTCCAACCCCCTGCTCAGAGCAGGGTCAACCAGCAGGTTGCTCAGGGACACATCCAGCTTTGAGTACCTCCAAAGACAGAAACACTACAACCTCCCCGGGCAACCTGTTCCAGTGTCTGACCTGGGATGAGTTTTTTCCCCTTAGGTTTAAATGGATTTTCCTGCATTTCAGCTTGTGCCCATTGCCTCTTGGCCCACCCCTGAGAAAATCTTGGCTCCATCTTCACTCCCCCCTACCAGGTATTTATCCACATGGGTAAAATGACCCAGAGCCTTCCCTGGGCTGAACAATCCCAGCTCTCACCCTTTCCACATAACTCACATGCTCCAAGCTCTTCAGCATCTTCATAGCTCTTCACTGGACTCACTCCAGGGTGTCCATGTCCTGCTTATACTGGAGAGCTCAGGACTGGACCCAGCACTCCAGCTGTGCCCCCCCAGCAACGCTGGAGAGGCTGTTGGCCTCCCTTGCCACAAAAGCAGCTGGGACTGAGGAAGCGGTACGTGCCTTCAACAACTATTATGTGCACAGTTCCTCATCCAGTCAAGAAATCAAACCATGTGCAATACAGATGACACTGGAGTACCCAGTAACACTGAAGGCCCAAGTCTTTGACTACTCATCTTATGAAACTGAGCTGAGGTTTTTCAATATAATAGTAAAAATAATGTAGTTAAACCTGTATTTCTACACTCAAATGAAGACTTTTCTTCAAAAAAGTTGAAGGCATGGAAGGCTTATCTGAGAATAATTAGTAAGAAAAAAACCCTAATGAAACCCTTAAGCAGAAGGTATCTTTCCATATATATCACAGTCAGTAGCACAGCCTAAAAGAACTGAAAATCCTTCCCAGAGGGATCCCTTTAAGTCCTACTTCCAGGGACTATGGCTATTAAATGAAACTGCACCATCTGAATCAGGACAAAAACTAGAAGTAATTTAACAGCTATTAAAGCTGTTAAGGACACACATTCATTTAATGCCAATAATACCCTATTTTATACCTCACTGCTTATCAGGTCTGGTCTGTAAAAGACAGAGCCCTGTTAGCTAGAAATTCCTGTTCTAGAATAGGGAAATATTAATTTCCCCATGCCTCCAGAACTAAGAGTTTTTAGGAGCAGAAGCCTGCAGTTAAAATACCTGCTAGACCTTCAAGGCTTTTTATTTGTGCAGAAAGATTACCTCCCCTATGAATATCAAAATAAACTGCAAGGAAGTGGACAGTTAACATACACAATCTATGGATCAATTAGTTGTCTTCCATGATACAGGGTAAGATGGATTTATTCAACTTATTCCAAAAGAGACTTGCTTAGCAAGGCTCAAGACTGAGAATCTTCCACCACGTAAGGTCCAAAGCAACATCTGTAGTACTTTACTAGTAACACAGCAGCTTTATTTGGGAAAGCTGACCTGTAACTTTTGCAGGACTGCTGGAACAGAGAAGGCAAATGCAAGCAAACACCTACTTGCTTATGAGCAAGTCAGATGTTTGGGGAACACCTGAAGGGGTTAAAAGATGGCAAGAGGAGAAAGAATAAACTGCACAGCTCAAGCTTAAGTCTTGTCCCAACAATGTAGCTGGATGAAGAAAAACCAAACAGCACTTCTGTAAGTCAACAGGGAATATAATAAAAAAGCCCGCACTTTCTTACGTTAATGCACATACCCAAAATTACCATCTACTATTTGCAACTGGTACCCAAGAGTATTAGTTGGGCAATGTCTTATGAAAGGCCAGGTATTCCACAAGTCAAATTTTAAGAATGGGGCAAATCCCAAAGCACAGGAGGACACACCCAACACATACAACCTGCAGTTTAACTGGAACAGGACAAATTAGAAATAATTCTTTAGGTTCTTTCCAATCTCCACAGGCTCACACAAGGCCCTAATTTTACATTAACAGGACAAAGACTGAGAAAATGTCATTGCATGAATGTTCATCCATGTCATGAGAAGTTAGGTATCCAATGGTATTCCAAGTAGGAACCTTGCTGCATCTTTAAGCAGCTATGTATCTGCAGGATTTGGCCCCAGGTCCAATCCACTCAATCCTCCTGCATCTCAATTTGCACTACTGTGGGAGGAGAACAATACCTCACAGGGCTGTGGGCTTACCTGCTTAATGCATGTAAAGCTCTTTAGCATTCTCCTCCAATCCCCTCATAGATGTGCAAATCATCGTATTCTTACTGTTCTGGGATAATGACCTTAATTTGATGACTTACAGAAGGAGGCCCCTCAGCAGGGACATTTTCATCTGAAGGCTCCCTTACCGGGTGCTGGTGGGGGTGAGAATTTTGACAACATTGCTCAGAGGCCAGATGTTGAAGGAATCTCTTTCTTTGCTTCCTGCCCTATCACAACCATACTGTGATACCTGCTCAAACAGAATTTCAAAGAGGCACTGTAACAACATGAAAGTGAATAAAGGACCTTGAAATTCATTGTTTAAGCCTGAGTATTGATTCTGAAGAGGAAAACACAAATTTCTTGTGAGATGGTAGGTTAAAATAATCTTTGTTTATTTGGCTTTTAACATATTCTACTCATGCAACACAGTTCATGACTGATCAGTTAGAGACAGCTCAAAATGGTTATTCCAAGACCCCTGCTTCTCATCTGTTGTTTATGCCATTTTGAACACTATTCTTGATCAGTGCACCATGCTAAGGAGGCTGCTGGCAGAAAGCCTATGTTTAACCTAAATGCTGTTCACATGTGTGTTTGCAGTTGTGATTATAAGCACTCGAAACAGGGGATCCATAAGATAACAAGAACCAGCTTCTCCCAAATGTATTTTGGACATCAGCTCCAAGTGTTCAGATCTTTGACTCATCTCTGTGAAATTCTGTTACTCTCAAACTAGAAAAAAAACCCCTATCAGTAACCATCATGCATTATTCTTTCCCTCATAGATATTTTACACTGATAGCAGCATTCACATTGTTGTATCTAGAATTTAGTCAAATACTGATAAAACTTTTCTGGAGCAAATTTTCTATTCAACTGCAAGATCTCCAAGGTTAGCTTAAAAGGCCTCCATGTAAGTGGATCTTTTCTTCAAATTCATGGAGAAAAAAAAAAAGTCTCAAAGGGCAAGATCTACTAGCAGCAGGAAATGCACCCCTTCAAATGGAGAAGGAATAGTCAGGCTATGTAACAGAATCTTTTCAAGGGCAGTATCACAGAAATCTTACTAGTTGTTGAAATAATTCCACTTAACTAAAGTGAAAGTACATGTTGGAAATACAGTGTGAACAAAACACCTGCCTACTCCCACTCCATCCCTGCCCCCCCCAAACGTTAGCTCACAAGTATTACTAGAACTCTGACATCTATGTGATCAGCAAGCAACTGCATTTGAACCGTATTTTGAGCTCATTAGAGAAGTGCTGTGTATATATAAGGTTCCATATATATGACAAGCACTTTAGAGATTTTAGTATTTCCATGGATTCTTCCTTTTGTGATATGAGTCCTGTTAGTTTAGGATTAATTATAAGGCAATATGAAGAAACAGAGAATCATCTCCTTTTCTATACTTTGTTAGCTCAAGTCAGTATGCTGATAGCATCTGCACCTCTCCACTTCTGCTGGTGTAGATGGTGGGGGTCAAGAATACAGCTTATCCCCTCTGACCCACAGTTGGGAACAGAATGGAGAAAACCCCAACTTATGTTGTATTTGCCTCCGGCCCAATCACTTTGTAGGATATTCCTTGCATTGAAGGAGAAACCTGGAAGGAAAGGAGGTGAAACAGTTGCAGTAATAAGAAAACATACTAACATCCATTGTAGTTTTCTAAAACAAAAAGCAGAGAACAACTGTGACAGCAACTGGAGTAGCACTCAAGTTTATCATCTTCTCCTTACTAGTCTCTGGAGGGAACATCAAAGATTAAGACTCCGCACATCTCTGAAAACAGAGAGCTAAAGCATGACACATCCATTGAGATTTACAGATTTTTAGACTCCTTTGTTTTGTTTTGATAGAAGAATGTCTCTTCAGAAATATTCAGCATTTTTACAGATGTTTATTGAAGATTGCAAAAACATAACTGATTTGAATTAACTTACACCAATTCCCTTCTTTCCAAAATAGCTGGTTTGGTAACCAGATGAAAAGAAGATATTAATGTTTCACTGTGGAATTACAAGCACCTCTTTAAATGGAGAAAATATTAAGAAAAAAATTAAGCATGGATCTCTTCTAGTGATAAAGACCAGACCAAGAAAAAACATGCTGCTACGCCTTCTGAGTTGCTTGCATTCTTATAGCAAAGGACTGCTATGATCCTTTTAATAGATGTGATGAAACTCCTAACAGAATAAAGCATCCCTAAGGAAGCAGGTTTCAGGCATAATTTGTGTTGCAGTGGGAAATGACTTTTTAGGCAATGTGTAACAAGATCTCCACAGTCCTGTGATTGTGACAAAGAAAAGAACAGTACGCATTCACCAGAAAGTTTTTCAGAATATAGATTCATATGAAAAACTGCAAGAGAAAAGACCTTTATTAACATAAAACCGTATGAGATACTTCAAATATTTTATACCCTCTCAACCTCCAAAACATATCTGCATCATTATTTTAAATATGAACATGTGATATAATCAGAATTATTTGCTTATGTTCACCTTTGAACAAAAGTAAAAATGAAACTAATAATTAATAACTAAGCAATAACTACAGCTTTATGCCAAAAAAGAACAGCAGCTTTGACAAGATTTTAGACCCACAGTCTAAATAATTTTGAAAATAAAACCCTAAGATACATTTAAGTAGCAGTTTTCATTTTTAACAACTTTATTTCTTGATCAAAAGTACTTACTGTATGCAAATCCTACAGATATGATGAGAAACTGTACAAATTTTTATATGACTTCAGCTCAGCTGCTTATACCGAACAGAAGCATAATGTGACCAAGTTTCCCAAAAGTATTCATAGCACTAAACTTAGAAGTCAGGTTTTCTTTACCACTAACTTAGTTATAAAGAAGAAAAAACCAAATCCAAGCAATGTTACCACTCCCACTTTTACTAATCTTTTTTGCAAGGTGAGTGCTTTTTCTGGAAGTTTCACTCGGCTGGGGTCATTCCTCTGTTCATGCTGAGGCAGATGTTAAGTTCATGTAAAAAGCGCAACAAAGAACAAAAAGTTAGTGTGAAAGCTTCTTAAGTTTGTGATAGTTCTAAGAATCTGCATGCATTTAGGACTGGTATAATTTCTCACTATTTGTCTCTGCTGTACCTCAGTTGAAATAAACATGTACAAACCTGTATCTTACCTGATGTTCAATCATTCTGCAATATATGTTAGAAAAACAAATTGTTCAGAAACTTAATTCCTCAGGAGTAGGACACACTGCTAATAGATGCTACAAAATTCTAGTAACAAAACATTTAAATGCCAATCATCAAGTATTTTAAACAGAACTTCTGCCATTTAATTACTAAACCAACTGTTTATTAAAAAAGCAAGTCAAATATGTTAACAGATTAGACTTCCTTGAAATTGAAGAGTAGAAAGCACCTTACAAGTGGCCTGCTGGAATGCATTTTGAAGCTGAGTGGAGCCTTGTTATGAAGTGCAGCAGGGTTAGGTTCCGATTCCCTACCTTAGTTTAGAATGTTTGGAAGGCCATCTCTTTTACTGTGCTTTCAAAAACTATATGCTACAGACATGACATGTACTGCTGGAGAAGTCTTCTAATGACTAAGCTTAGCAAATAGCACTGAAGATTTTAAGGGAGTTTATACAAACTGAGAGGTTTCACTTAAATTGGCCCTTTTTGTAAAAAACGTTTCAGCACTCTACTCATTCAAGAGCACCCCATCATAAATTAAGTAGCACAAAACCATCTTGTATTAAAGTCTTCATCAGTGAAATTCATAAAATACTACAGTATTTAAATAGAACAGGAATTACATTTTTGAAGTAATTAGAAGGGTAATGTTTAACACCTCCGTTTAACACAGGGTACAACATGCTTCATCTTGACAGCTATAAAACCTTAAGTACAGATGAGAGCAAAGCCAAGTGGCACCTAACTCATATTCCCCCCAGCCCTTATAACTGGCCCTGCACGTACAGGATGCAAATATATACCCACAACTGATTTCTGCATATGCAAAAAAAGGAACACAAATAGCTAAAAACATATTTGCCACAACTTTTATCTACCTCTTAAATATACTTTGTGTTAAGTGATTTATTGGGAGAAGGCTGTTATATTACACTAAACTACAGGAAATGCATTAGTAGCATTATACTCAAGGTCCGAGTTCCACATGGCTTCGTTCAGCAACAGATTCCTTTCTGACACTGATGCTCCATTTACTCTATCCAAGCAGCCATTCCTTTTACTAGCCTATTACTTAAAATGACCCCATCTGACAAGAGTGTGTCATTGTGTTGGTTTGAGAATGACTGATGTGGTGCTAACATCTAGACTTGACCTCTCCCACCCTATTCTTTTGTCACTCTGCAGAGTTATCTGGGATGTCTCCCATTCAATCCATAAAACCATAGTATCTTCCTTGTAAATCAATGATTCCAAACAAAAGATTCCTTAATTAAGAAGTGGTAAGCATTCAAAGTGGCATTTATGCCACAGTGGTTGTCCAAGAGCACTGGGATACATTCCACTTAATTCTTTCCTGTGGCAGGAAGAAAATGATTGACTGTGCCTTCCTTTAGAGATCACCCACACTGATACGGAATATTCCAGATTATTTCTCATTCTGTCCATGGAAAGGTGGAAGACGGAGAGGTGGATGAAATCTCTGAGCTACCATTAAAGAGCTTGAGGCAGACCAAGGTATGAAACATTTCACTCATAGGGATGTCACATTTGAGCTTGCATGCAGAAACTTGTACACGGTTTTTAAAAGCCTCACTTACACATACCCACCTTCTCCACCAGGTTCTTCAGTTTGGTAACTTCTTCTCCCAGCTTTTCAACACTGCAAACCAAGTCTTTGCAGACTTCAACAGAACTTTCCATTGGTGCCCACTGCAGTACTACCTGTTAACAGTTACAGTTATTTGCCAGAATTACTGTAGATTATAAATTAATATTCTTTAGTTAATGTATCATAAAAGATAGTGTCAGAAAAGCTTCTAACTGCATTAATGCTGGGTTTTCATTGTACGATTTATGCATAACAACCTACTACTCTCTATCAGTCTTTGTGGGAACTTCCTGTCACCTTAACTCCCCTATCAGCAGAAACACAAAGAAACAGAAACAGTATCTCTCTAATTGGGTGGCTTAACTCTTTGAAATACATTATTAAAAAAAAGTATGCTTTTGAGGAAGACCATTGGACAGCTCTATATAACTATATAGTAATCAAGATGGTTGATGAGTAAAATATATTTCATTTTACAAGATAGAATAATAATCTAGAATACAATAACATACTCTAAACCCAATGTATTTTCTTTGGTTGAATACCTTGTGAGAATTTTTGAGGAGATGCTTATTCATGGTCTGCACAGGAACAGTCAGCTTACTACACTCTTTATTCAACTTCTGAAGAAATTTGAGGAATTCATCTCTACTACAAAAAGAAAACAATATTCTGTTATTTGTTAAAGTCAATCAGTTTCTGCAAACTAAATATTATCTATGCATTTCCAACACCAGCTAGTGAGTCAGACATGCAATTTCATTGCATAAATAAAAGAATATCCAGTGTCATTTTAACACAAGGCAGGTAAACACTGCAATTAATATTATTAGCAATTTTTTGTTTCTTTTGTTTTTGTCTCCTCCCTCCCCTCAAAGGACAACAAATCATTAAGTTATCTGGAATATTCAGCTAGTAAGACACACTGAAAGCTGAAAAAGTGTCACCCAAAAGCTTTTCAGAAACATTCTATTACTCTCCACTCCTAACTCTCATCAATCCTGTATAACCAATGAAAACATTTCATTACCTGCTGCATGAATAATTTTGTAAAACACTAGGCATAACAGCTGCAACACTGTTTTCCTATACATGTGTGCATACAGAACAGTCTTGCAACACCAGAAACAGAGATTTAGTCAATTTTATGCTGACTTACCAATATTTCTGCAGCTTACATTTTTGAGGAAGATGCGGGGGAAAAAAAAAATTTGGTTTGTACTTTGGAGCTAAGATTGAAATGACTAGGTTAGAGTCATTTAGTCTCCAACACAGTGGAAGAAAAAAGAATCCAATACTACTGACTTGGCCCTTGGATCTGGAAATGTATTCCTCAAAGCCTAAAATATCTGATGTTATCTACTTTGAAGAAAATTTATACTTGGTGCTCAAATACATGCAGGAAGACAACTCTGAAAATTAGTTTGATCAGTATCTCCAAAGAGTGGAGAAAAGGATAGAAAAATTTAACAGATGAATTTCAATGCTAAGTTTCTAGAGCTTCCATGTGACACTGACTTAATTTATTTTACTGGAAGCCTAAAGAGAGCGTTAGTTATGGTGCTGGCCAGGAAGTTTGTTGCCATTAACCAGGCAGAGGAAATGGGGGCAAAGAAGAAGAGCATCCATTTGTTTTTATAGAGTGAGCCCTCAAACCCTGAAACTCACAAAAAGTGTCTCTATCTCCAGCAGAAAGGTTTCTACTCCCTAGAAGCTATTCAGATAAAAAACAAGCAGGGCCAAGACTAGAGACAATTTTTAAGTTCGCATTGGGGGACTTCCCGTTATATTTATGGGAGGATCTGAATAAATTAATTCAGACCCCAACGTTCCACTTTTCTCTAGGGGAATCTGCTACAAAACTGAAATGCAACATACTCACACCATCTTACTTGCTGCTGCGGCTTCTGATGGCAAAAAGGTATACACAAGATTTGCCAAACAGCTAAATTAAGCTACACACTAGTATGGTGCAAGTATCTAAACAGAGACTGAATTTAGCCCACAGGGTGTTTTCCTTCAATTTTGGCACATGATCACTAGGTGAGCAATGTTTCCACCACTACTCAGAACATCTGTGATTTGCAACACTGCTGAACTGTTAAGACTTTAACGCTTAAAATGTGTGTGTGTGTATATATATAAAAATATATAAAAAAAGCATCAGTAAGGATGCTGGAGGTTAAAAACCAAGACCGTTAATGGTTTTCATAAAGATGGGGAAGTAAAAAAGCCTATTAGCTTGTTTTTATAGAACAAATTATTATTTATTTCAGAACAATATAACTGAATATTTAGTGTAAAAAACACACAAAACAAAATAATCACATCTGGAGCTAGTCTGAAAGTTTCTCCATGTTACTACAGTCCATGCTCATGAAAATGTTCTACTTAGATAACTTTTTAGCTGAATAGTATCAGTTATGGCACTTTCTGTGTTTTGTCACCAACAAAAAAAAAGATTTTTAGGAATTATGGAAGGATTCTTAGCAAAAATAAAGTGTGTCACGAGCATGAAATGAGGGGGGAAAAAATTATACTTCTCATACTACTTCATTTTACCAATAATAGTTCTTAAAAAAAAAATTCATAGGATTTTGTATCTGTTGCAGTGACATGTTCTTATATTTGCAAATGGAAATGATGTTTAAAAAAAAACTTTTAAAAAATTAATGGCTGTCAAAACACCAGTGGCTAAACAGTGCTAGACACTCTGAGTTGATAATCAATCAGTTCAACTTTTTCTACTATGTTAGTTTTTCTATGACTTAATGACTGATTTTCCTTCTCACAGGATGACTGAACAAGTGGGAAGTAAAATCTTTATAAAATAGCATGTAAACATAGCCTACTACAGTCTCAAGGTCAGATTCCTAGAATACATGTCAAGCCATTTTCTAGAAAACTATGCAGTGCTTGCTGTAACTGAAATGCTGTCATACTCCGTGTACTTCAATCTGTAATCAATAAATTATATTCTAGTTCTGAGAACTACATATTATCTATTGCTATACTAGTATGTCACTCATGTGTGAGACTGTACTGGACATCATGTCAAGTTTTTTATTGTATATGGCCGCATATGCAGCAAACTCCTAACTTTTTGCATTTCTCCACTTACTCCCTTTGTTCAAATTTTTGAACTGTTCTGCTTGAATGTATATACTTAACACCACTACAGAACAATCTGGAAAAAACATACATTTCCAGCAAAAAAATGCATGAAGCTTAAACTGGGCAAAGTCCCCTTAAACTGCAGCTAATTATCCCTTGCTGAACAGTCAACATCCTCTTCTAAAGGTGACTAACTTGGACAGCTAGACACCCAGACACCTGGCCTACTACCTCAGCTCAGCAGCAAAGCCTCTATTTTAATAGGAATGGCTCAGGTGCTGTCAGAGTGTTTATGGCGTATCCATATCATACTGGTTTGTACCCTCTTTCCTGATGGAACTTTAGTTCTTAATTCTTATAGTACATGTACTAGTTTGCACCTGGATTCTCTTCTGAAAGTACACACTTCTTTTGGAGAGCCATAGAATGGTTTGGGTTGGAAGGGACTTTAAAGATCATCTAGTTCCAGCCACCCTGCATGGGCAGGGACACCTTCCACTAGATCAGGTTGCTAAAAGCCCCATCCAACCTGGCCTTGAACACTGCCAGGGAGGAGGCATCCACAACCCCTCTGGGCAGTTTCAGTAACTCACCATCCTCACCGTGAAGAACTTCTTCCTTACATCTAATTCAAATCTACCTTCTTTCAGTTTAAAGTCATTACCCCTTGTCCTATCACTACATGCCCTTGCAAAATGTCCCTCCACATCTTTCCTGTAGGCCCCTTTAAGTACTGGAAGCCCCTATAAGGTCTCCCTCGAGCCTTTCCTTCTCCCAGCTGAACCACCCCAACTCTCTCAGCCTGTCCTCATAAGGGAGCTGCTCCAGTCCTCTGATCATCTTCATGGCTTCCTCTGGACACGCTCCAACAGGTCTGCATCCTTCTTGAGTGGGGGCCCCATAGCTGGACACAGTACTGCAGGTGGGGTCTCATGAGAGCAGAATAGAAGGGAAGGATCACCAACCTTGACCTGCTGGCCACACTTCTCTTGATGTAGCCCAGGATACAGTTGGTTTTCTGGGCTGAGAGTGCACATTGCGAAATCACATTGAGCTTCTCATTAACCAACACCCCCAAGTCCTCCTCTGCAGGGGGACTCCCCAAGTCCTCCTCTGCACCCCCAAGTCCTCCTCTGCTCTCAAACCACTCATCGCCCAGCCTGTATTTGTGCTTGAGATTGCCCCAACCCACATGCAGGACCCTGCACTTTGCCTCGCTGAACTTCATGAGGTTTGCACAGGCCCGCCTCTCAGACCTGTCCAGGTCCCTCTGGATGGCATCCCTTCCCTCCAGCATGTTGACTATACTACACAGCTTAGTGTTGTTGGCAAACTTGCTGAGGGTGCACTCAATACCACTGTCAATACCCTGGTGCCAACAAAGATGTTAAACAGCACTGATCCCACTGTCGACCCCAGAGGAACACCACTCATCACGGGTCTCCACTTGGACATTGAGCCACTGACTGCAACTCTGAGTATAATCATCAAGCCAATTCCTTATCTACTGTACTGAGTGGTCCAATTCTCACAGACTAGAAGCAGCATCAAGGTCCCTGTATTAGGACATGAACACCCTACTCTGCCAGCACACCTGTCTTTCAAGAGCTTCCCCAAAAGCCTTGCATGTCCTCCCACATCCTAGAGCTCAAACTTGGCATCAAGCTGCAAAAACATTCCTCAAGAAGGCTGCAAAGCCTCTTTTGTATAAATACAGTAATGGATACAGTTACAGGCACAGCACCAGCATCAAGAGCAACTGGTATGTGTAAGAATGACTAGATAGGAGTGGAATACCTACTAGACAGACCCCTGTAACCATGGCACAAAAGACAACACTCTGTCAGGACCACATCATGACATGACTGCTAATACACAGTGTCAGTGCGATTCAGCTGCCTCCAAAGGATGGTACAGAATGAACTTGAACCCAAGCACATTATTCAGTACAATGAACAATATATCTAATGAAGCGTCTAGCCTTGTAGTAACCAAATAATCCAGACAGCATTCCCTAGTATTTTGGAGAGGGAAGAAGTATCTAATAGAGTAGCAGCACAGCTGTCAGGTCACTTGTCAAGAGGGAGATACACATGCTTTAAAGAGAAACCGAACCCTTAACTTTTCTAGGCAGTAGAAAGTTATTTATTGAGTAGATTTGATGCATGGAGTAGTTTTTTCTCTGGTACTACTCTAGCCAGGCCACTGCAAATAAGGCAACACAATGTTATACAAATGATGGTGGGACTGGGAAGAAAAAAACAAATACAGAGAACCTAAATTACTGGATGCAGCTACAGTATGAGGAAGGAGTAGTATTTCCAAACTAGTCTTCTCTAAATTAAACACAGTTCAACTGAAGGCAAGCCACAGTTTTCTGTCCCAGTCCATTTCTAAAACTTTTAAAATTAAAATACCAAACTCATCCTATTTTCAGGAACTATTCTTCAACAGTTGTGGGAAGTAAAAAGAGGAAAGATACAAGCATAGAATCTAAATTGAAATCTAGGTCTCTCTTCTGGAAAAAATTATCCTCAATTTTCTTGTGTAAATATAAAAGGTTTAAGAAATCTTAAGACAGCTTTGCATTTACTATAGCCTTCATTATTCTTTTTGTGCTGGATGTGGAAAGTGCTCAGGGGACTGATGAAGTTTAATAAGGTTGCTGAGGGATGTTCCTCTCAGCTTAGGCCAGGCTTTCAAGGGACTGCACAAGACTCTACTATAAGTATGAGAGGTATTGCAGAACTGATGCTTAAGTCCGTAAGAAAGAACCTATAATGGGAAAAATATCAAGTTGGAAGTTTGAAGGAGTAACACTTTCTTAAAAACCAGTTTCCTTATAAACATATTTCTACTGATACATATAATCTATGATAAGGAAACATCTTACGCAATTCCTGATTTTCAGTATGTAAAAAAAATACGGTCTTTTAGAAGCCAGTTAAAACTGCTTCCAGTGGATGAGAAAAACAAGGAAAAAATCCTGAATCTATACAGAAATCATGATTTAAGACAGTCACGTACTAGTAATTATCAGGTGAAAATTAAAGCCCTATGCAGAAATTATATGCATCTCTCCTTCCCACACATATTTTTTTATCACATGTTACAATGTGATTGAAAGACTGCCTGCCTTGTTTAGAGACACAGTGGAGAATTACAGAGACCATATCATGTGGGGTCTGTAAGGGTCCATGACGCTCCTGAAGCATGGAGAAGCAAGGAGGGCAAGACTCCATTTCCATGGAAAAATTAAAAGAAAAAAACAAACCAAAATCTGCTTACTTAAGCCTATCAGAGAAATCAAAGAAAGAGTTAGTACTGGAGACCAAGAAGCCAGTTTCAGAATTTATGATATGCACACAAGACAGTGAAAACCCTGCAGACCAATGCCATGAAACCTCATATGAGATACAAAGAAAGAACTCATCACTCAAAAAGATGGCCGAAATAACGGCATGTAATGGCAACATAACCCATAAACAGATTCCTACAGCAGGAATGCTTCCAACTTTCTTTGTACAAAACACACCTATCACCAGCCCTCAAAATCCACTAGCTGGCATACTCTCATGAATGTTATGCATGGGATAAGATGGGAGAGAATTTTTACCTTTGAGCTATAGAAAACAATGTAGTCACCTTAAATAGTTCATAATTCACTTCCATTTTCTTAGATACACAGTTAATACCTCAATTCCAGCTTCATCACTTCAGAGAGGTCTCCAGTTCTTCTTTCTTCTACTTGTAGCTCATTAATAGCATCTAGGAGTTTCTGTTGATCTCCAGGATTAGTAATGCCAATCTAAATTTAAAGAGTAAATCCAAACATGATTTACTTTTAATACTTATTAGACATAATAGTACAGTACCATTTATTGTGTGAGCTTCTAAGAGTCAAAAGAATTTGCTTTTAAGTTACTGCAACCAACTACAACATATGTAACCGCCAAAGGAAAAAATAAACCCACAAAAACTATCCAATGATGCAAAACAAAATTACAAGAGCTGAGAAAGAGCCAAACTGAAATTGAACAGGATACTCAGAAAATCTGTTTAAGGTTCATTAAAAAAAATGAATAGCAGTTTTTATAAGTAGATCTGTGTTGTTAGAATGTTATGCTCATGTATTTCAGAATCAGTCATCTCTTAGGGCAAAATAACCAATCACCATGATGGTGATACAGCATTAACTCAGAAAAAAAGAGTGGAAGCTATCAAATCAGCATCAAATGGAGAACTTTACAGGAAGAGGCCAGATTTTAAGAAGGACTTTTACAAGCTTTTGGGTGTGTATTTTTTCTCAGTTAGAGAAACTTCTTTCTAAAACCTTATTTTCTCATAGAGTCTCACTTAAAAAATAAGTTATGTCTACAAAGAAGTCTAGCTGGTTCACACTACCTCCAAAAACTCAAATTATCAGAAACTAGTAGAGGGAGAGAACATGATCTTCTAAAAAGACATTCAGATGGATATTTCTACCATGAAATAGCCTGTAAAAGTAGCCTTTTTATGTGTCTGACAGACAGCATACTTACAAACTCAGAACAGACTTCTCGCCTCAAATTAAGACCAAGCCTAAATACTATTCAATATTACTTTACACAGTCTCTAAGCTCAAATCAGTTCATCTTCTACACTCTTGGCTAATGCTGCAAACAACAGAAAAGATCTGAAGTGTTCAAGGCTTTTTGTCTTTTTTAGCTGAAGGACAATTTTCTTCAGAAGATATACACTATATAACAGATTCTCCAAGTGATGATTGTCAGCTTTGTTATTGATCAACCATCTCAGATTAAAATTTAACTGTTCAAATTCTAGGCTGAGAGTTTTCTTGTAGAACATTTAAACAAAGAAAACAAATAGTCCATTCATTACAAGTGAAGTGCTTTTGTGGCACATTCAGTACTTTGCTCATCTGACTGGCAGCTGTGCTACACAGGAGTTCTGATGTTAGCAGCTTCTTCACACAAGTGAAAAAAACTCATTCCAAGTATGACTTTGTTCTTAACTCTCCAGTTGAATACCTGGACTCAGCAGGAGTGGACCATTATGGAATATGAGGTTGCAAGGATCTCAGAGTCTCCAAAGCTAGAACATACAGGGCTCTCACTGATGTTCTGATGACCTGAGATTTCCTGCTGTAGCCTCAGAAATCTGTAAGACGTTAGTATTTGCAGTCTTCCAGTTGTCTATAACCATTGCAGAAAGAATTTTAAATGAACAGCTGACAACACACATCAAATCAAAAGCCCAGGCAAATTCACTTCCTCAGATGGTGTTGGGCAGCAATTCCAGGGAAGAGAGGGTGCCTAGAGAAATGCTTGCTTTGTGGAAGACTATTGTTTCTGATGCCCAGTGTTCTCTGTGGCTCCATAAAACAGTTCTCCAGGTTCACTACCAGGTGTTCAGAAATCATAGGTAACACATAACTATGGGCTCACAAGTGTGCCTTTAAACATTTCAAAACCACATTGTCAGTCTATAGACAAGTTCTTCAGTAATACAAAATCTCAACAAGATTAACTGGGAGTTTAACTACAAGTGTCAAGAACTTCTGAGTTTCCAATACGTTGCCATGGGTACCTGAACAAATTGTATTCAAGTCTCTTTGGTAAATATCACTAGCAGCCTTAAGAGAGAAAGATCTGGGTTTCCTAGAAATAATTTACTTATGTTGAGCTACAAGTTTGCTCAATCTATTAGTTCTCGGGTTTGTCTTGTGGAGCCCCATCTGGTATGAACTAATGTTTTCATAATGCTTACAAAGCATTACAGCAGCCACTTCATGATGCAGAAGTAAGCCAACTTATACAAGAGCATCAAGTTTACTTTTAATCACAATTAACAAATCAAATGAGCTCTTCCAAGGACAAAATGGCAGTTATTGTTGAATATTAGAACAATCTCACTTTTAAAAGGAACAGGCTGTGAAGACTGGGTTTGCTTTTGACTCCATCTTCTCACTCCTGGAACAACCAAATCAGGATACAGCTTTCTGACTTGCGTTATCAGAAGACACTGTATTTTGTTTCCCTATAAAATAAACCTAATTTTATTCTTCTGCAAATGGATCAGTGACTGAGCACCACCACATCTTGAAGATATGGCTTAGGAAGTAAAGAATGTGATAAAAATCATCACAGATAAAGCCTTCCACCACCACAGTAATTCTGAATTCAGAGGTATTAGGTGCAGAACTTAAGAGACAGAAAGTGGACAGATCAGTGCAAACAAAGCAGACATGTTTTCCCTTTCTAGATCATCTCTGTTGAACATGAGTGTTACCCAGAACCTCACTATTCATGCAATGATCAATGCATGGAATAATCACAGTGCAAGAAGCTCTTCTTGCTAATGGATAAGGAGGCTTTTAAAGTTGGTGTTAGTTCAGTTAGGCAAATATTATTGTGAAGTGGCTATATATTTAAGACTGATCAAGTATTGTACAAGAACTTGCTTTATCTGTAAAACAGACTATGCATAGTCTAGATTTTGATTTTAGGCACATCAACTCTAACAACATCTATTTTATTCTTTACTTAAACAAATAAATAAATAAAAACTAGCCCCTGGAAATCCATGCTCTAAACTCATGCTCTAACATCAACACAACTTTTCTGTCATCCTTTAGATGGAAATGAAAGAAGTGAATAACAGATTGCCTCAACTCATGAAAGATGACATTGTCCTCAGATAAAATGAGTGAAATTATGCATCCTTGCCATCTTGCCCAAGCGGCCACTATTTTTAATAACCTGACAATCCTCTGCCAAATATTAAACGCTTTTTTAGGGTGGGCAGAGGAAGGAGAGTCCTGGAACTATGATACGGAAGCACACAGATAATTCTCAAATGATTAAGTTAAACTGGGCTATATTTTGAATTTTCACATGTCAACTTTTCATTATGCATTCTCCAATTCAGAACAGGATGCCAGTTTCTCTTATTCTAAACTAATAAACACGTGAGAAAGGAACTTTCTTAGTCCTAAATGCATCCAGAAGTAAGATTATTTCTGTTGCTATCTTGTGAGACAAATGCTCAAAAAAATCAGGCAAAAAAAGATCCGAGTGTTATGAGTAGTATATAATCAGACAAAAACCCTCCAAATGCTGAATAGACATGTCCCAGTATATTGAACAGACTTGTCTCAGTATGGAACAGTTTATAAGCTTAAGGAATGTAAGGATTTCAGCTTGAAAGAGTCACTGTTTAGGCTCTGTTGTAGAATACAGATAAAGGTATTTACAGAGAAAATATCTTTCTGATATTGTTTGATGGAGGAAAGTGTATCATGTTAGTGACAGGATTTCTCCCCAGTTCTATGGATAAAAAGCAGCTTGGTTCAGAGGCATTCATCAGAGGTCATCATTAATCTTTGTAGTAATAAGATCCAGGCTCTTTAAAACAGCTGGCTGTTAGTTGAAGATCTGCCATCACACTAAAAACTTTCAACTCTGGAGTTACAAGGAACAGATTAGATTTGTTCTATCAGTGTGGGGAGAAGCTGTTAGCAGAGCTCTAAAACTAAACTGCATCAAGAATTCAGGATAATTTATGAAGTGCTAATAAACCAGAGTGTTATGTAATTTTTTTGAATTCTCAATTGAAGACTCACTAATTAATTCAGGTCCATGCACAAAGCATGACTTATTTTCCAGGAACTGTTTCCTACTGTTACAAAGCTAAAAGACAAAACAATTCTGTTCCTATAGATATTATCTTCCTGTGCAAGAGCAGCTGATCCAGGTATTTATTTCAGTTTGTCCAAAAAAGCCGTCTTTATAATAGGGAGCCTCAAACATGTTAGAACACTGACACAGGACTTAGCAGTTCATGTGAAATTATGTCTTCAGTGAAGGAATCACAAAGCTCAGCCATTCATTAAAGTCGACAATTCTCTCCCCTTCCCCCAATGTCCCCTGGACAAAACAAGTAACAGTTACAACATGAGTGATCAGTATGAACATATATACTCAGTCAGATTTGCATTTTAATGCAATCATGACCAAAACAGCACAGTGATGAGAAGAAAGCCACAAAAATCCCCTTTATGAGCAAAATTCCTGTCAGCAGAGGCTTTAGGATTCACATAAAGCCCACACTGGGATGCTGTCCCAAGGCTTCAGAAAAGCAGTAACATCAGAACATGCTGACATGCCTTACAATATTTAGGTCTAAGTGAACTCTCAATTTCTTCATTGACAAAGCTCCTTGTATGTGCACCGTCTGAAAATATAGTTACCTCTGAGCTCTGTCAAAACACTTAAAACTCTACTCAGCTACAAGATAAAACTTAGAATCGTAGAATTGTTTAGGTCAGAAAAGGCCTTTAAAGATTGAGTCCAACCATTAACTTGTCCACCACTAAACCATGTCCCTAAGTGTCACATACACATGAGTTTTAAATACCTCCAGAGATAGTGACTCAACCACTTCCCTGGGCAGCCTGTTCCAATGCTCAACAACTGTTTTTCTTGAATTTTTCCCAATATTCAAATAAACCTCCCCTGTTGCAACTTGAGGCCATTTCCTCTTGTCCTATTGCTTGCTGCTAGGGAGACTGACACCCATCTTGCTACAGCCTCCTTTCAGGTAGTTGTGGAGAGCAATAAGGCCTCCCCTGAGCCTCCTGTTCTCCAGTTCCCTCTGCTGTTTCTCATAAGAATTCTGCTCTAGACCATTCACCAGCTGTGTTGCCCTTCTTTGGACACACTTCAGCATCTCAATGGCTTTCTCGTAGTGAGGGCTTCAAAAATGAACAGTGTGACAGGTGCAGCCTCACCAGTGACGAGTACAGGGGGACAATCACTACCCTAGTCCTGCCGGTCACACTATTTGTGATACCAGCCAGGATGCTATTGGCCTTCTTGGCCACCTGGACACACTTTTGGCTCATTATTCAGCCAGCTGTCAACCAACACCCCCAGGTCATTTTCCGCCAGGCAGCTATCCAGTCTTTTCTCCAAGCTTGTGAAGTTGCATAGGGTTGTTGTGACCCCAGTGTAGGAACTGGCACACAGTCTTGTTGAACCTCATATAATTGGTCTCAGCCCATTGCTCCAGCCTGTCCAGATCCCTCTGTAGAGCCTTCCTACCCTTGAGCAAATCAACACTCCTACCCAATTTGGTGTCGTCTGCAAACTTACTGAGGGCGCACTCGATCCCTTCATCCACATCACTGATAAAGATATTAAACAGAACTGGCCCCAGTACTGATCCCTGAGGAAAACCACTTGTGACTGGCTGCCAACTGGATTTAACTCCATTCACCACCACTCTTCAGGCCCAGACATCCAGCCAGTTTTTTACCCAGTGAAAAGTATGCCTGTCTAAGCCATAAGCAGCCAGTTTCTCTAGGAGAATGCTGTGGGAAACGGTGTCAAAGGTTTTGGTACAGTCAAGGTAGACAACATCCACAGCCTTTCCTTCATCCACTAAGCGGGTCACCTTGTCATAGAAGGAGATCACATTTGTCAAGCAGCACCTGCCATTCATAAACCCATGCTGACTGGGCCTGATCACCTGGTTGTCCTGTATGTGCCGTGTGATGGCACTCAAGATGATCTGCTCCATAACCTTCCCAGCACTGAGGTCAGACTGGTAGGCCTGCCACTACCTGGATCCTCCTTCCGGCCCTTCCTGTAGATGGGCGTCACATTGGCTAACTTCCAGTCAACTGGGACCTCCCTGGTTAGCTAGGACTGCTGATAAATGACTGACACAAAACATCCTTGTGACATGAACTCTGACAGAACATTAACATCTGTACGCAAACGTTGGTTCCAGTTGCCAGAACACATACCTGCTTGGTACCAGCATAGGGGGGAAAAAGCTGACACCAAGGCCACAGCCAGCATCAGTAGCAGGGAGCAGGCTTAAGCAGCTACTTTAATGAGGCATCTTTGGTATCCCAGACAAGGTACAGAGTGCTCAGAAGAATCCTGAGGCCTGAAGTACTTACATTGTTCCACAGAGACTCCTATAATTGGATTTTATTATGGCATCCTCCTGTAAGCACAGGAAGTCTTTCATTTCCCACATTAATAATTCCAGCAAAGACTAAGGAAAAGCAACCACTCTGTTTCAAATGGAAACTAAACCTTGTAACAGTGAACCACATAGTCCTGGATAACAGCGAAATACCAATCTTCCCAGCAGCAGTAAACTGTAAGAAACCAAATCTTCTGGGTTTTTTTGGTAAGGTTTTATAACCCTGTGTAGGGTAAGAGATTCCACAGTATAAGAGCTCTCGTTTTTCCAGCAGAAATCACTGCCTCACAAAGGAGGACCACATTTACAGTAGTTGTTTAGGATTATCTAGTGCTAATCCTAGCACTGATTTCCTTTCAGGGAAAACATACCTAAATACTAAAAATGGTAAAAACTAAAATTTAAAATGGAACTATTTCTTGCTCAACCCAACTCCCACATCACTGCAGCAAAGAAATACTGGGGACTTCCACTTCATAGTCAGATCCAGGCAGAGAAGATGCAGGAGTTCAACTCACAGTATCTGAGGCTGATCTGTGGGTTTTCATACTTTAGAAAAGGTCTGTCTACATCCACATTAAAATTCAAGAACTTGCAGGAGATTTGAAAACAGATCTTAATAGAAGAATTCTTACAAGGCTAGACATTTATAAGGAGAAGACATTAAAACCATCTAAGAAAGAGAAGTAAATTAAGTTCTAAAGTAGTAAACTGACCTGTATTAACTCATCTTTTTGCATGATCAGAAGTTGTCTTAAATTTATGTCTCTTTCCTGTATAAAACAAAGTGTTTTCTGCCATCAAAAAGAATTTCAGAACAAAACACCATTTTAACTTATTTTCACTTATGTTTTACTGCCATTTTCAGAAACAAGACCAACTATACAACGCCATTATCAAGAGTTCTCTAGTTTAGAAACATCCTATGTTATGACTAATGAACATAATCAAAACAAAGCAATCCAATCCACTGCAGTTTAACAACACTTTATATATAAACTTCTGTTTAATAAATTTGAATTAATTCCATAAATGTATTTGAATTATTATACAAATAGTGTTAGAAGTTTTTTTGTGTGCTGTAGGTGCATTTTCATGGATTACTTTACACAGAGACCAAAAACTTACCTTCAGTAATCCTATTACGTGTTCTAGATTAAGACCATGTAAAAACACTTCCACGTCATCAAAAGTTGAATAGGAACTGTAAATATAATTAATGAGATTTGAGATGAAACCAGATGAAATTAAAAACAAAAAAAAACCCAAAACAAGACATCCAGATGAAAACACTGTAGAAAAGTCCCCCAGACAAAGCACTGGGGAGCAATCTAAAGTTGTACACACCTACTGATGACAGTACTATCTCATAAGCGTCATGGGATACAATTTAATCTATCAAAATTTTATAAACAGCTTTTCTGTCTAATAAGTTGAATTGAGCCTAAAGGGAATGATTTTCATAAATAAATGTAATTTTAAGTAGCCAAATGTTCCAACTGAACCTTAAAGTTGGGTTGCAAAAGCTTGAAAAAATTGGAAGTGGTGTTAAGGAAGATAATTATGTATTCTTATCAGATAACGTTCATACAAATTGGATTCAGGCCACAACTGTTACTCTTCCAGTTCTGTTTAAATCAAAAAAAGTTACCAAGAAAACAGGAATGTCTCTAATTAAAAACAGTGGAAATTAGTCTGGTAAGAACTTTGTCGTCAGAAGACGATTGTTCAGAAAGCAGACTGCGGAAGTAATATAACCCACTGTAGGTTCAGAGTTTAACATTTATAGACAAAGGTAAAATATCAATTTTGATTCCCCACGCTATCAAAAGATATAAAAATATAAGTGAAAAAAAAATCTAAACCACTTTCAATAATCAGATGAACAACTGTAATAAACAGAATTAAACCAAAAAGCAAGTAATACAAAATGCAGAGGACAACTGCAATTGCTACAGTGACCCTTCTGCCAAAACCCTGAGTTAAAAGATAGTTTGCTCCATCTTATTCTAGGCCCTGAAATGAAGGTTTGGCCCCTTTTCACATCAAAGACTTAAAAGAGTACCTGCTAAAACTTGTTAGAAAAAAGGTAGGAAAACCTGCGCCCCCACCCCACCAAACAAACCTCTCTAAAAATTATTCTGAATACACAGTAAAAGATTTCAGGTTTGCACACTAAGAATCTGCATTCCAGGATTTCTGGTAATTAAGTATATTTATCCCTTTACAAGGATGGACACCCTAAATCACATATGGAGGAGTTTATGAAGCTTCCACACTGTAACAATAATTCTGCGAGCATGCCTTCTGTCAGCAGGCAAAATATAAAAAGAGTTATAAATTATTTTAATGGAGTTTAAAGCCAACATCCCTACCATGGAGTTGTGTAAAACTGTGTTATCCTCTGCCCAATTCCACACCCCACCCCCCCGTCAACACACAGACAACATCAGTCTTTCAAGCAAACAATTCACATATACATCCAAACATTGTATGTACAGCCAATGATGTTCAACTGTTAAGAGGAGACAGTGCATGAATGACCTGCAGTGATGAAATGTTGGTGTTTAAGTATGCAAAGTGCCCAGTTTGCAAAGGTTTTGGGAGTCCTTGGGTAACTCAAGACTTTCGGTTCTGCTAAAGGTGCAAGGAAAGGACATTTTTTCTAAGGATCAAAGAAACAGGTATTCAGCATTCAGACAATTAACCTGAAAGCCTCTGAAACAGAAAAGGACCTAATCCAGGAGCTGAAGAAAGCAGATTCTTGACAGGTGTGTGCATTTCCTTGTATAGTCCAGAGCTCTGGAGCCTGGGACACAGTTAATATCCAGTACCAGATGATGCATTAGGAGCAACTAAGAGAACAGCGACTTGAGAAGACAACTGGCAATGCCTGTGGTGAAACTGTGCAGGCAAATGGCTGGAAGGAGACAACCAGCTCAAGGAACTATGATGGAGTAAACACAGGTACCAGTGTACCTCCTGACTATCATTAGATTAAAAAAAACCAACTCACTAGGGGGTGACACTGTGTGTGTGTGTGTGCGTGTGTGTGTGTGCGCGCGCGCGTGCGTGCGTTAACAGATAAGCTTTATTTGTAAGAACAGACATTTAACAGCCAGACATCTGGTATACTCCAGGGGACTGTTTCCTGGAACCAAGAGTTCTACTAACTACCAGAAATGCTCAAAGTTATGAAAAAACAGAACTAGCTATTGTTAATATAACAATCCTTGAGCTTGACAGAAACGTCTGTTCATACAAACAAATCAGTTGCTCATCTGATGCAAAGAAAAACTACTGAAACGTTGTGAAATCCTGGAAGCCTAAGAGTTGCCTAGTACAGAATTACATTTGCATAGCCAGACATCTGGCTTTCACAATGTATTTTAAGTGGGCTTCAGGATTGTCTTATTTTTAAGGGCTTATCAAGACTACCCAAACACTGGTCCTCTAGACACCATCAGGTTTCAAGAGCACTACATCCATTTGGATAATTGCTGCACTGTGTTAGTTTAATTTCCTTATACCAGAAAAGGCCTGGGAAACTTTCTAAATAACCTAAACCTATTAAAAAAATAAATTATCTGTTCTAACACTGAAGTCATTAAGTACAGATCCTATCTAGGAGCAGGAGTCTTTGTGATGAGTACTAGAAGACCAATCTATTTAAAAGAATGTCACCTTCATGGCAAGTATACAGGGACTCAAAAGATGATCCCCAAGGAACAGACAGATCCCACAGGAGACGTGGTTCACAGATGAGGAGATATACACAGAACAATGCGTTCAAGAATCTATAAGTTAGTGAGATGCAAGAACAAGGTGGACAGCATAGACGATTTACCATGTAAAGCCTTCACCCCTCTGATCCAAGAAGTACTTAAGATGACTGCGGTTGAAGTACCAGAGAACAAAATCTGATTGACATATACATTCATTTAGCAACCGCACATGGTGAGGCTCTGTCTGAACTGAGGTATTTTGTTTGAGACTGAGACTACCTCAATGTGAACTAGTACCTACTGAACTGCCATCAGCCTAATGATACAAAACCAGGGCATTTAAAATTCAACATGACCTGGCTGAGTATGGACATAAAGAATCAATCTGACCAACCAGAACAGACTACAGGCATTGGAAGCTGTCTTCTCAAGACCATGAAGCTCCAGCTCAAGAAGGCAAGTGGATGGTTTGTTGAGGACTTCTTAGCCAATATGTTCTGAGACAGAACTTAAAGACCTTCAAAGTTGCTCAAGCAGGGGTTGATTTCAGTCACAGGACACCTACAAGCTTCAGGGTCAGGGGCATGCTATGCAAAAAGTTCTAGAGCTCAACTGGTGTTGATATTTTGTTTCAACTCTTGTAGATGCAGAATGAAAGGGCATAGCTCTTCCTGGTGGCATGAAGCTGAAAAAAGGCATTCAGTGAAAGCATCAAAAATGTGACATCAAATGAAGATAACCACACAACAAGGAGTATCCAACCGGAGAGCATACAGCTTTAACAGAGCTGGAATGAAGTGGCATTGGACCTTGACTCTACCATACTTTACAGCAACTGAAAGGAAGGAAAGACCTCAAGCATGCTCTTTATAATGCAAAGAAACTTTGAAGTCTTGAAAAATTAATAGTACATTAATATACTCACTGTGGACTCTTGGCAGTGCTCCAAACAATACATAATATATATCAGTACAATGTAATCACTGATATTAACAAATACAACCTCTTAGCAATGTTTATAAGCTAAAATTAAACTATGACTGTATTTACCCAACTCTGTTTTCAGGAGCAGTTTTCAGAAATTTGTAGGTAACCTCTTGCTTAATCATTTCGTGGTATCTCCCTTGCAAGTGACTTGCAGCCAAAGAGAGTAAACTATAAATCTGGAGAAGCCAAAATTAATTATTATTCAAATTCAAAATGCATTAGAAAATACACAGGAGTAAGATTACAAAGAATTCTATCATAAGTTTCTACTTACAGTGAACATGAAACATCTGCCACTAACGACTTCTCTAAAGCATACAACAGGGAGTTAGGACTAAGCTCACAGAGTTTATCAAGAACATTTCTTTAACCAGATTTCAGCCCAACAAGGAACTGACACAGAGGAAAACAGTATGTATAGTGTAGTCTAAAAAAAAGTTAGCACCTGTCACTACAGAAGCAATACACCAACATACTAATTTTTGTGTTTTATAGACAAGTTCTATATACTCAAGGCAGTAAGTTGCCTAAAGAGCATGAGGCATATTTTATTATCTCCATTTCCCTTGCATATATGGACCCAACATTTAGCAATTTACAACTGGCAATCTAAGTTAACTATCTGACAGACAGGGATTCTTTCACCTGATTAAAGCAGCAAGCCTTCTGCCAGACATCACTATGCATCAGTGATGGATTCCAGAAACTAAATTGCCCCTGTGTTTTGAGATAGTTACTACAAAATTCAGCAAAACAAGTAGAACCTCAATAAACCTAAAAGAACAGTGAAACCACTTCCCCGAAACTGAGGTTGCTAGCCAGTTTTATATACACATACACGTACACATATACATGTGTGGTAGGTTGATCCTGGCTTGCAAACAAGCCCCTACCCAGTTGCTCACTCACTCTCCCCTGGCAGGATAGGGGAGAATCAGAAGGGTAAAAGTAAGAAACCTACAGTATAATAAGTGAAAGGAACAAAAACCCCAAAGCCTAAGTCATGCAAAGGCAGTAACTCACCACGTCCCACCAGCAGATCAATGCCCTGCCAGTCTCAAAGCAATAGCCTGCTTTGGAAAAACTCCCCCCACAATTTTATTGCTGAGCATGACATTATATGGTATGGAGTATCCCTTGGGTCAGCTACACTGGCTGTGTCCCCTCCAACCTCTTGCTCTGTCCCAGCCTACTTGCTGGGGATGGGGGGCAGAGTAAAAAATAGAGAAGGCCTTGATGCTGCACAAGCACTTCTCAGCAACAGCTAAAATACTGGTGTGTTATCAACACTGTTTTGTCACAAACCTAAAACACAACACCCTACAGGCTGTTAGAAAGAAAAGTAACTCCATCCCACCTAAACCCAGTACAGTATGTAAGAAAAATATCTCCCCTCTGAGATACAGTTTCCGCAGACATAGTCTGTGTCAACAGGCTGAAGAGCAGACCCCCATGTTGAAGAAGCTCATGACCATTAAATATCTCAATACCATCTGTAAGACTTGCAGTAACTGAGTGAAAGTCAGCGCTTCACAGGTCAAGAGGCCAGACCCACCTCTCAAGTGTGAGGAGTATGTATTGCCTCTATGTCAGAGAAAGTTGTGTTATAACATTATATAGCCAAAGCCTGATGAACAAGTCATTTATCAAAAGCAGAAAGCATTTGTAGCCCCTTTCAGTAATCCGATCTAACAGATCACTGAAAGTCAGACACTGGTCTCGTTAGTGCACATAGACAGCTTTGTGCATAGTTACCATTTTTGTTCCCGCTTAGCCCTGGAGTCTGGCAGGGGGGGAAAAGAAAAGTAAAAGAAGATGTAAAGTGAATTACAATTCATTCACACACAAATGTAGAGTGAATTACACATTTGACTGCAAAAAGCCACATCATTGGTAAGAGCAAATCAGAGCAAAATAAACAGAAATTGGTCTAATGATCAACATGCATCACCTGCTAACAGCAGTAAACTGATTTATTTTAGAACATGTTGTCTTCAGCAGCTAGCTCTCTCAACTGATAATGAGTGGCTGCTCTTCCAATGATCTGAAGACCAATTTACATCATTTTGCACCTTATTCCCTCCCGAGAATGGGTTCTGAAGATGGCCAGTGCCACCTACCCGCCCTTTTTGCTTTAGTCTTTTCACTTCCAAATTCAATGAGAAACTATATACTGCAATTTAGTTTGATATCCACATTCTGTCACACCCCCTGGCAGGTGGGAAAAAACCAACAACTACTTCTCATATCAACATTACTAAAATGAATAATCCCTTGTTCTGTATTCTAAATCTGATGTCAAGGATTCTAGAGGGGAAAAAACAAAGTTCCCAAACATTACTACGTAACATTTAAAGCCCTGCAAAAAGTTGAGATATAACAGAAAATAGTCTGTATAGATGTAATAGCACAAATATTCAACTAGCTGCTATAATTTAGTTATTAAAGTAACATTTCTACAGAAAATTATACAATTACTGAACAGATATGAGGCAAAATTTGTATTTCAGAGAAATTAAATACCTCTGAGCATTTATTGATTTTTGCAAGCTCTGCTGCTGTTTTCTCATCCTTAGTCTGTAGATTTTTGTCAGCTCCCAGCTCAAGCAACTTAAAGATTACACTTTTATGTCCATGCTGTGTTGCCCATATTAATGCCTGCAGAGAACAACTTTATATTACCAATTTTACATATGAAGCAAAAAAGGAAGAGAAATTCTATCAATAATACAACCTTCATAAGTTCTTACATGGCAGAATCTGGAGACAAAGACAATTAATGCAAAAGAATCTCGAAGTGGTGTTAAATAAGTATTTCCGAGAAAGTTGTACTTAGAAACAAGTTTGTGGGTTCTTGCTTTTTAAAATTTTTATCATTAATTACAATATACAGAAGTAAATCACTTACTGAATACCCATTTTCATCTTGGGCATTTATGTGTGATCCATGAGCAACAAGAAGAGCAACAACCCGAGGATAGCCTTTTCTAGCTGCATACATCAGTGGAGTCATTTGTCTCCTGAAAAGGGGACAGGTGAAAAAAATTATTTCAAGATATCAAAATCCAACTGCATTATAAAGTTCAGAGTTCAAATTTATTTTTTGATTGAAATGAAGTCAAGAAGTCAACTGTTGTCTTTCACAAGAAGGAATCCTAGAGGAAACTTCTTCCAGAAGTTTAGATATAGACCTATAGTACTCCTAGGAGAAAAAGTTAAAAAAACCCAAACAATGTTTTATCACTTTCAAATTCAAGTAGTGCAATAACACACAAATAATTTTAACATGTCCCAGCTATGAAACATGGCAGCTTGGTGACTAAGCCATTTCTTTTTTGGCTCTGAACTAGTCAAAACCACTTTTTAAAGACTGTCTCTTCTGCTGCTAACCACAAACCCAGCAGCAGGCATCTTATTTAGCACATAAATCAGATTAATGGGAAGGGAATGGGAATAACTGCAGATCCCAGTTTTCATCCCACTAAAAGCAGAAAATATCAGCAAATCACCCTTTTTTTCCTCTCAATTAAAAGAAGTGTCAGAGACTTTTTTTTTTTTAAATAATTTTTGAAGTGACACGGCTTAAGTGATGAATTGTACATATAGTTTAATTTAAATCCAAAGTTCTGAAAAGAAATATGCAGTTTTGTGGAGGGCAAGCTGTAAATTACCAACCAAATATTTAAGAGGAAGAATATTAAGAGCAACTATGTACATACTTGCAAAACCTGCTCTGGTAAAAACAATATAAGCAAAAGAATCACAGGTCACACAGCTCTCAATGGTGTACACAGGTGCAGTGCAACAGCACAAGGTGCATGTGTATTATCAACATTCAGAAACTGTTTCCCACCCCACACCCCCCAGTATGCCTGAGAGGAATCTTCAGAGAATTACAAGTATCATACTGAAAATTTTAACTTTTGAAGTCCTAAAACTAAATGCACATCAAAATATTTTTGTCCTTTATTGAATTTTTGTTTTCTGATCCCAGAAGTGTATGTGTTGATGCCTTCTTTCCTACATAATTTCTTACAATTGCTGAAGAAGCATTTACAGACATAACTCTTTCCATTAGTTTCTTCTTTTTATCTCCCAAAACCATGATGACAAGTCTACTGACCTTAGCTTCTACTGAGATGCTTATAAGACAATCCCATTGTGAATTGCTCTGAATATTTTGAAAGAAAAATAATATTGCACAAAAGCTTCTGTTAGTAAAGTATCTTTACAAAAAAAAAAAAAAAAAAAAAGCAGTATTGAAGGACAAAGATGTGGAATTTCTGGTCACTTTGAAGTAATCAGATTTAAGCTAAAATATTTTACTAGTGATGTTCAATTAAAATTTATTATATCTTAAAATGCGATATTTTTTAATGAAAAACTATCATGTACTGTTTTTAATGTACAGCTCTGTGTCAAGAGATTACTCTATCTTATTAGGATATATTTGAGGGGGAGGATTGCCCTTTCCAATATTGTTTCTTAATAATAAATTCAATACCGACCACTAGAGGGACCCCAAAAAGCATATGTATACCAAAGCAGTTGTCTTAAAATACAGACTTTCTGTCTCCTTACAGAGTATTGCTAGAACTAAGGCTTTGTTCATCTTGCCTTGCTATTGATCATTCACAAAAGGATAATATTTTGTCTTATGTAAACACAGTTAAAAGTGCACTGAAAAAAAGCCATCATATTACAAATTTGAAAGTCATGATAGGGGAAAAATAAGTCACTTTCTTGGAGATAAGCAAAATGAAAGCTATGCAGGCCTTCAAGACATACAGTCAATAAGAAACCTGATAATGAAATGACCAGACCTGCATCAGTGTACAACTAATTCAATGTAGACCATCAAAACTGCAAAAGCATAAGTTCTGACTGAATATAAGGAAACATTTTTACCATGGGGGACAGTCAGTGGAAGAGGTTGCTCAGAGAAGCTTCATAGCCTCCATTTTTGGTGGGTTTTGAGACCAGATGGCAACCTAGTCCAGTGTCATAGCAGAGATGGCTTTAAGGAAGAAGCTGGACTAGAAACCTCCTGAGGTCCCTTCTGCCCTGAATTACCCTGTGATCCTATGAAAATTACTCTGAGAGAAAAAAATTCTACAGTTTGCCCCTCTAACTTGACAACTAACTGATGAGATAGTGAGGTACAGATACCTACACATAGACATATACAGATATCTATAGACACCTATATTTTAAAGAATGAACAGAAGCTGATTACAACCTAATAATTTGTAACAACAGAAATTCAACTTGCTTGCCCAGCGTGGACACTCACTCTCACACTTACTTTTATTCAGTGGCAGGTAACACTTTGACAGACTGCAAAAATCAGTCCATTCATGACTGTTTTCATTTTAATTTCTTCTGCTGTCAACATTTATTTTTTTTTTAAACTTGGACACTGTTACTACCTCACAATTACCTTCTGCTTTCTCAAAGAAAAAAAAACTGAACAGAAGTCCGGAGGCTACAGAAGAGTCTTTTCTCCAAAAAACATGTAGTGGTTACAGTTGTACAGTACTGCAGACATAGTATTTGAAATCAAGGCAACTACTTAATGACATTAAAGCCACTGAAAGTTTCTCCATTTTTAAGTAAAACCCAATAAACATGACATTTAAAAGGTCCACCTACATGAATATGTAATTAGTACTTCAAGCCTTCCATTTTAATGTTCGAGTTTTAATTTCAAAGGCTACAAGCCGTTTCAGGGTAGAAACATACATAGTGATGCATAAATCTGCAACTGCATTTATGCACTACTATATGAGAGGGTACCGTTAAATATCTAATGCACATACTGCATAGCCACCACCTCAGAAAGCAAGGTCTATTTACATGTACATCCACAAGAGGGAGACTAGAGCATTAGGGAAAATGGATCCTGTTTTCTTAACCCTGCAAAGAACCCCCACAAATAAACCAGCAAGCTTCAAGATACCAAATCCACTGTTTCTTGCTAAAGCTGAAGAGAAATGTATTGGTACACCTAACCGCAATCTAAAAACGTACATAGGAGGTGTAGTGGTAAGCATCGAGATTAAAGAGCTGAAGAACCCCTTCATCATTTTGAGGAACCATGCAGACATTTGCGTTTCAGTAGTCAGGTTTGCAGATGACCTTCCTCTCCAAACAACCACGAAGTCCTTTTGTATGGCACAATGTGCCACGTGACATTTGCCCATATTGAACAGGATTACTTAAGTCATAATCAGTAAATGATCTTAAAAGGAAAATAAGAAATTTATTAAGCATAATGTCTATTCCAACTATGTTTGTTTCCAGCTATGCAGCACCTAAATAAAAAGCAAGGATTTCTTCACTGGCCTCATACAAATTAAGATGTGGGGTATTTTTGTATGAGTTTATCTTTAGGTCTCCCTGCCTTTATGTTTCGTAACTTTGTATGTGACATCTACACAAAGATATAACCAGAGGTTCCTACAGGCTTGCTTCACCTTCATCCTGTCAAAAAAATGGGGCACAAACACCATCACAAGAGAGCAAATGGAGTGGAACAGCCTGAAAAGCAACCACTTGGAGGGTAGATAACCACAAGCCATGATAAAACCAGGTGATACAGTGATAGCTAGATATCCCACTGAAAAACGTCCCAAGTATCTGCATGTTACCACCAAGCTGAATCTCTGGTGCATAATTCATCACACCTGAAAAACATACATTCTTAAGTTCAGGATCATGCTCTCCAGCAACATAAAGTGCATCTTCCTAGAAAATTTCAGAAGAGGGAGGAGTGGAAGAGATGTCTTCTATCTAGATAAAGGTTTCCCTTCCACTGGGGATGTATCTATAGAAAATTCAGTATTTCAGGTTGGTCATCTTGAGAAGTATAACTTATATGTAAAGTCTCATAACTAGATATGTGTTTATTAACTAGACCAGTGTATCACTAACATTAGAAAAAAATACAGCAGGTAAAAAACAATTCAACCTCATGAATTTAGTCTCAGTCTTTTCTTGTTGAAATCTCAAAGCAAGGAAATGAAGCTTCAAGACACTAATATTTAAGTCTATTGATCTGTAAACTGAACACTACTTCAGATTACCTGGAAGCATCATCAGAAGCTTTTGGAGCCTGTTTCACCACTCCAGTGCTGAACATTAAGCCTGGAACTGAGAAATGAAGCAACTGAGGGTAAGCCTGTTTTCTGGTTTATTGGGGTTTTAAATGATGAGGTGGGAAACCCTAGTAGTATTGGAATAACATACTTTACTGTGAGCTGCAAGATACTTTTCTCAGGCACTATCACCTGGACCAAGGTAGGAGAGTAATCTCCCTTCTTGAAGCAGAACTTGTTAGAACAATGGAATATACAGCTCTAGTAAGAAGGCTGGGCTGGAAAGAGTGACAGCTTAGTTTCAGGTTCCCTAGTTTTAGGTTTCTTGTACCTTTCTGCTTCTGAACTCTGCTTACATGATTGTTTTAAAATTAAAAAAAGGGATCTCTGTAAGTTCTACAGCACACAGAGGTGGGAAGGTAGACAGCTACCATCTTCATATGACTAGAAAAATACAAAAGGAAGTGATTATAAAAGGGATGAGCATAAAAATTAACAGCGGGGATAGCAGAACTCTATCCTATGACATTCCTGGTTAACCTGCCCTGTCCTCCTACATCCTTACTCCATTACATTTTTATAAGCAAGCTGGTTTAGCTGAAAACATGCACATGAAGTAGAAAAAGAGATGAGTTCTCCACATAACCAGAAACTTCTCAGACTGTTTTCAACTTTACTTTCAAAGTTGGGGTAAAGTCTGCAGTCAAGAAATTCAGCGCATAAATGTGAAATCTACTCCACCTTCATAATGAAAGGGCAACTCTCTTGTCCCACAAAACCCCCCATATCAATTCTATGCAAATAACCTGTGATGACAGTAAGCTAGTGGCAATGATAGGAAGTTCGATATACTTGGGATAGAACGTTGCTGATATAATGCTAATGGATTTCAGCGCAGGTTTTGTTTCCGTTTTACACAAAGGCTGCTCAGGTGACACTCCAAGACACCACAGTACACTGTCAGAATGCCTCTGTTAAAAATAGTATCTACTTTTTCTAATGTCCCTGAGTATTTCATACCTCTGCCCAGAAACTGTGATAACAGTTGTAAGCCTGTTGATACCATTGTACAGTCAATACTAGCTGGGAAAAGTACAGTCATCTATTTCAGTGTCTAGACTCCTTCCCCCACCAAAAGATCTGATGAAAAAGACTCAACACTTACTTTCAAAAGCCACTCTTCCAAAGTCACAGAACTCACACATTTACCATGCTCCTGACTTCTCCCTAACCCGGATAAGAGGAGGGTAGACATGCATGGACATAGCCCAGATGAACACAGTACTCTGGTAAATTTAACTTTGAATCTGATTTTTTTTATATTTAGCCCCTATGCCCTGATGTTTGACGAACATAAATTAAATCTTTCTGTCCTGAGTCCACAGGGCTAGAATAAAAACCTCTCTGAAAGGCATGAAGTAGAACGGAGTGTAACATCACAAGCTATTTTTTGCTCTGAGGTGGATCAAAGATGTTGACTCAATCAGTATTAAATGCCTTCATTTTCTTGCTCCAGCCATAAAATGCCCTGTAGTGCATTAACTTTTCCCAGGCTATTTACCTTCACTGAAATGTACTGTTTGTCATTTGGCATGGTTAATTATCACAGAATGATAATGTCAAGGTCTCTGAAATTATTATGTGGCAGTGCAGACTTACTATCTTATCAGCGGCAATAAATATCTTGCTAAAATTGAGGCGTTACACAATTGCTTTATTCTGACTATGCAACCTGAAGAGAGACCTACCTTGTAAACTGAGCAATACTGAGACGAAAATTTCCTCCTTCCATTATCATCTTCTCAAGAGGGCAAAATAGACCAAAACTTTCATCATGAAACCATTTTTGATACTCCTCAAAACTGCTCTTAATGTAAGTATAAGCAAACATATGCAGGTACTTAATACCAGAGCTGAGTAGTGATTATATTTTCATGTATGTGCATTCATGTACACGATAGAATGTTTCAAGCTCAACTTTTAATCTGTACAATGACAAGAGACATATGTCTAGTCTTGTAATACCCTAAAAAAAGAAAAATAAATATTATGGCTTTCTGAAGACTTTTCTTTAAACATACACAAAATTCACAATCATTTTAGAGCAGAAACACTGATGACAGACTTGGTCATTGACCAGGACTCAATAGTGCCAGAAATTTTTAACAGTGAGGGAAAAAACACCACACAAACAAAATCAAACCTCCACATATCCCACACAGAACAAGAGACAAAGAGCTTATGTCAAAAGAAATGAGGTTTCAGTCATTCACCTATCTGAACTTTCTTTTCTAACAAACAGCTATTAGCATGAAACATCAACTCAAAACACTTTCCTTACTGGCAAAGCCATTAGGTTTCTTTTACTCTATGTAAACAAAAAGTTGAAGGATGTCATCACTAAAATCCATATTTACTAAATAACCCATAACATGTAATCCAAGCAGCAGTAATTCAGTTATCAGTTGATCATGCCTTTTCCTCCCGTCTAAAACAAAATCACATCTTAGCATTAATAAAACCACTGTACCTTTAAGAAAGAGCTTCAGGTTAAAAGATGTTTTTTAAAAAAAGACTACTTAAATGTTTCCAGGCCTTACAAAATGATAAAGTATATATTTTGGAGCAAGAGGGAGGAGAATGATACAAGATAAACAGAACAAATTTCTGAAGGTAGCATTCACTTAAATAAAGCATTCAGGCTATAGTTGATCTACAAAGGCTATCCAGAGCAGGTCTTACAATGCCTTCTTGTTTCAGCTAGCCATTACTTCTTGTTCATCTTTCAAAACTCTTCAGTTTGCACTTATGCTTTGATACACATTTTCATTAAAAAAATTGGTTTTATAGCCATCACTATTTAGTTCCCAATTTTGATTTAGCAAACATATCAGAAGTTATTCTGCTGAATACTTTCTCCTCAGTACTCTATCCTGTTACAAAGATATCCTCTACCTACCTACTCCTAAATGAATCTTCTTTCTAAGACTGCATTTCAAAAATAAGTTTATTTCTCACTAGTCCTTCCTTGCTCCATGCACACTTCATGAATTAGATAGAAAAACTGCAAGTTTCTGTGTATCACTTCCAGATGACATGAAGTAAGAAAGCCTACTGGCTGCCCTGACAGCACAACAGAAAAAGGATAAATACTAAACTTTATCTTACATGAAAGTTAAATATTCCGCTTTGTATTCACATACATTCCAGTCCTTGGTGGACACAAGAGACACTTCCTTAAAATCATTCTGGTTCTTAAGTGCTGAGACAGCCAAATAATGTGAACCTTAGTTCTTAACACCTGTGGTAAACTGACCACACAGGAAGTACTCTCACAATAATTAACACACTGACAGTTCTGATGCTCTCCTACAGAATATTCTGCTTGCTCTAAGGAAAAGGGTGAAACTGGACTGCAGTGTACATAAACGGTCTTGATCCCTTATCTTCACAGAAGCTGGTTTGACACATTTCATCCTCCTGTTTCAGAACACAGTGGAAGAAGCCCAAGAGAAGCAGCAGCTGCTGCCTGAGCAGTCCTAATGATGGAGTGCTATACACAGATGTCAAATACTGGAAAGGAACAAAGGCAGCACAAAGATTTTATAAAAATGCAGTTGTCATCCAACTTCTGCTTTTGTTTGGTACAAACAAAATGACATTTCCAATTATCATTTAATTTATCTTTTCATTTGAGAAAGACTACTATTGCAAAAGTGAAAAAACATAACTGGACATTGTAGCTGGTGCATGCAAGCATAACTCGTATGTTAGCACAAGGTCTCAAGAAACAGATAGCAAATAAATATTTGTATATAAAGACCAACTATTTATAACATACTCTAGGTTTATAAATAAAGTTTTGCCTTTAGAATTCCCACCTCTAGTGTCAGAATCCAAGAGGCTGTTTTTACAAAGTTTAGCCAAAGAACTTTCCAAATGTAAACGTGCAGCTTTGCACTCTGGCCTACATTTTCAAACACCCAGGACAAAGTTTAATAACACAAAAGCTTCCCCCACTTTTTAAAGCAGGGTATTTATCCTAACACCCAGATATCTGACAGCAACAATATTATTTCAGTATCTGTCGTTTCCTCTTCTTTCATGAACAACTTTTAGCCTCTCTGATAAGAATAAATGAATAGCATTTAAATTTGGTACCAGGCATCAGTAGCACTTCAGCACAACTGCTTCCTCCTTCTCCATCAGTACTATGCTCACAGTGAGGCTCAGGGCCCAGAGTAACTGAATTCTATTAATGAGAACCAACAGCCCTCCAACTATGTTCTTTTTAGAGTGCTACACAGTCCACACCTCTCAGGTAATGTGATGGAAGAGCCGTGGTATAAAAACCAAATATCAATTAGTTGAAAACCAAGTAGTTTCAATTTGACCCAAACAGTACCTTTTCTTCTAACAGAGGGAGGACAGTTTATCCTGGGTCAGCCCAGAATTTGTTTCTTTTTGATGCAAAACGAATCACTGCATCAGACGATGCAACTATAGACATCTCACAAAGCACTGCTTCTGACTGCTGAGACACAAAGTGGTAAATCAAGAAACAAGCTGTTACTTGTTTTTGAAAAGGAGATTAAATATCCTCTTAATCCTGCAATAAATGTATTTTATTGACAGTTTTCATTTTCCATAGGAGGCTGTCTATGAAAGGAATATAGCTAAATATAGCTAGATACCCACAAAAAGCTCAAAACGAGGACATGAATTTAAATACAGAATTAACTGATTTAACTTATATCCTTATACAGAAGGGGCAATATGATTTGGAAAATGCAGAGGACATAGTTCTTGCCCTTATACTGCAGTAATCCAAAGTATTAAGATTAGTTTTTACCTTAAATTTACATTTTGTTCAGCTGAGAAACATTCTTAAATTTGTTAAAACCGATCATAGTCAGATGAAGGACTGTACTAGGAGAAATAAATATCTGGACACCGATCTTTCTTTATACAGACAGCAGCAAAGCAACAAAAAGCTAATGAAGTACATATCATCTTAACCAACAATAGTTATTTCTATAAAGATGTCTCTGTAAATTAATATTAAATTTTATGCTGTATTCACAGACATGGCTTTTTTCAGTACCTGCAAGTAAGGTTAGGGTCAGCATTCCTTGACAGAAGCAGTTCTACAGTCTTCAGGATGTTCTCCTCTGAAGCGTGCGCAGTACATGCTGCCATCAGCACGGTGTACTTATCTGTTTTGAAACTCACAGTTAGAGAATTACATATGTAAATACCATGCTAATCCAGAAGTCCCTTTAAAGGCCTTTACATTTTCTAGAGCTGTTAATTGGGTTTTGATACCCTAAGTTATTTAGGAAAGGGTAAGAAACTTGTTTTCCTTCCAGTGAAAGCTGTAAAGGCCACTACAATTATCAGGTAAGATAAAAGCATCCAAGAAGAATAGATGCTCAGAAAGATAAGAGTGAATGGCATCTAAAGCATCTATTCCTACTGAAATGTAGGATACTTCTTAGGTACCCAAAAAAACCCATTAGGAGCTTAACTATATATGCTTGTTTCTCAAATCTTGTTTCACACCAGTAGATTAACTCCCTGTTCCTTCACACCTCTCCCCAAAATACAGTCAAGAGAAGAAACAGTTTACAGGAAGTTAACTGCAACTGATGAAAAAAGTGCATGAAACATATTATAAACACATAACAACATCAATTTTAGGGAGAACAGAGGCCCATACAAAGTAACAAGGCTTTACTACAGACCTTACAGAGAAGGAAGTCTACTAAACTAGACTACTATGTTACAATAGTGGCAGGGGGAGGTTTAAAAGTATGGTTTTAGATATGGCTTTAGAGAACATCTATATAGCCCATAAAGATTCATCAGGAGAAACTGGTGTATTTTGCTCCAGCTCTGACGGCAGCTGGGTGTTACATGCCACATTCGCTCACAAATCAGAAGTGTACACCGCTGCTGTTTGCCCACAGAACAGGGGAGACCTTCCCCATGGTTCTCCTAGAGATATGGGAAGCATCACACCTCAAGGACCTTAGTGAGTTCGTTGGCCCTAGAGTCAAATAGAAGACTGCCATTTGAATTACTGCCTGTTCTCCTTATTGCACAAACTTGTTCACAAGTTCAAACATGCCTTTAACAACTTGTTTTAACAAGTGTAATTTTAGCTGTACCTACTTGAGACCACACCATGAAGTGTTACAACGTATTTTCTAACTTTCTTGTAGAAATTTTAAGACCACGTATATATTAACATGTTTATTCTTCAGCTGAGGTCGGTTTTTATTACATTTAAACATGTGAAATTTGTTATGTACTTTACCCACCTCTGATCTACTTTATTTCTCACCACTTCCTGTCTCACACACCTTCAACCAAAACTCAGTTTTGCATTTCATCTGTTTTTTTAATATACCATCTTCTAATTTTCAACTACCTCATGTAGAAGTTTTAACACAATAAATCAGTATGTTAAATGAAAAATTAAGTTTCAGAGAGTCACTTAAACTCCTGAACAGTAAGCAATTAACATTTCAGTAAATTACTTGATACACTGACAGATTTTTACTCAAAATGTTTAACCTGGTTATCAATACAACAGGAACGGAAAGATGCCAAGACTTTGAACAAAGACAGTGACCAGTCCTGTTAATCTGGGAATGATGTTTAGGAGGAACCTGTAGTTATATTTATATGCAGTATTTCAGGTAGTCATAGAGTGGGAAATTAATTTCTGTTAGCCTACCTATAGCTCATACCTGTGAGCAAGAGAAGGGGAAGAAACACCTCAGAATTCTCAGATTTTTCTTTTGCAAGGAAAAACTGGTAAGAGACTGAAAAAAAGATTAGTTTATTTTCAGCCCAGCTAAAAACCCAGAAGAGCCAGTAAATTTACTCCTGAAAGATGCTGCGTTCTGATGCCATCACATAGTGAATGCTACATTTACCCAAAAAGGGTAAAATTAAGAAACCACCTACAAAGAATGACTGAAATGTGACCAAAGGTGATTAAAGTGTATAGCTATTATTTGGATTATAAGCATTATAGGATAATTAATATAGGATCACTTAGGTGATTGCTTGCTGATGTAAAAAAAAAAAAAAAAAAAAAAAAAAAAAAAAAAAAAAGCAGCAGCAGTGGTGACATTTAGTACTGAACACACGTGGCCTGACCTGAATCAGCTGCAAGCCTGTTCCTGGCTGGACAGTACTCTGCTGCGCATTATGCCTAACTACAGTTTCCCCACACAGACAAGCGAGAAACCTGATCCTAGCAAGGTGCCACTTAGGGCAAACACAGTTGGTCACACACTGAAAAACTTGTTGGTTAACTGGTCAGCTGAAACTGCTGTCCACAGCAGTTTCTGCCCCATTTATATCTCTCCAGAGCCATAAACAAGGAACAGGTATGAGCTGTAGGCAGTCATATGGAAATTCTCTGAAGATGGCTAAAAGGACAGTAATTTGAAGGCACAACTGCTTTTGGTGCAGGCAATCTACTCTAATCACCTGCTAAGTTCAAGAAAATTTTCAGAGCCAGATTAGTACCATCTGCAATTCAGCCCTCTACTACTACAGATATTGCCAAGTTACCAGAAAATACGATCACTGCTTTTATATACTTGGCAGTATTGTGTTTCACATCAGTTTCTTCTATACTGCAATGTTTTTTCTTGAACTTCGATAAGTCTTCCAACACAATGAAAAGGAAGGAAAATAACCACAGTTTAAGTAGGAAAAAGGTATTATTAAGCCATAAAAATGGACAGAGGAACTGATAATACTTAGAAGCTCCACTGAACTCCTGCAGAAAAAGGTGATCTAGCAACACACTGAAGAACAGTTTTCACTTAACAGAAAAACTATGCTCGAATTTTAGAGAAGTCCACATTAGTTTTTCATGAACTGGAAAGCTATTCCTGTTGTTTGGGATTCTAGATGGTTTCTGCATGTACATTACTTGAAAACTAGATCAAACAAAGGAAGTTTTAACTGTAAAACTTTATCCTAGAATTTTTGACCAAGTATTTCCAAACACTCTGTTAAAAAAAGTACTTGGAGGATGGGGGGGGGGCAAACAGATGGGACAGAATGAGAAAGAACAAAAAACCCCCATCAATTCATTCCAGATCAGTTCCAAGAATACAATTTTTACATTAAAACTACTATTTTTACTTCAAAACTGTATACTTCATAACTGTATAGACTAGGTCCCAGTTCTACTGTGAAATTTTACTTTTTTCCTATATAAGTAAAAAGATAATAAGGATAGGACAATGTCTGGTACTAAGCATTACTGGCCAGCACTTTTCATTCACATCTTACCTATTTCAAAACATGCGTTAGCACCTCTGTCCAGAAGAAGATGCACTATTGCAAAGTCAGCCACACTTGCAGCATACATCAGAGGAGTCCATCCAAACTGAAAGCTACATTCTATGCTTATACCTGTCAAAATTTAAGATACTAAAATCAGAAAACTGCACCACAATAAACATGCTTTTTATAAACCTTACTCTCAATATGTATCACTCCCAAGGTTACACAGTTTTCATTTAGCCCTAGGGAAAGGAGTCTCTTACATCATTTTCGTTTAAGACAACTTTATCATGAACACCAAAACTCAAATTTTAGAACTGACACCACGGAAGCTCAGTTCTCAATCCAAGAAGTAAAGTACTACAGAAAGACTAAATTCAAAAAGCACTTAAGTAATAAATTTAGCTGCAAAAATAATTTCAGAGAAGTGCACAATCTCTGTTTTCTCCACTTACATGCAATAGCTTTCTTAAATGAAAAATTTTGATTCTTGCCAATTCAAGTCGACTGCTGTGGAAGTAAACTGCTTGTCAGGCAGTTAAGATAATATTGACTAGCGTTTTCCTGCTTCACAGCTCCTCTTATTCTCTGCCTGATACCAGTTTTGCATTCAGTACTAACAAAATATTATTTTGATAGAAAGAAGAAATAGAAGATTATGCAAGATCAGTCAAGATCACCAGATGTGTTTGTTACTCTTGCTAACAGCCACAACTTCTTTTGTGGCTAGAAGTAAGTTTGCCAGACAGCCTTTCCAAATTCACCAAGAACCAAGTACCAGATGAAGATACTCATCTTACAACTTTCAAATAAAAGTCTCTATACTTTTTTGCAATAAAATGAATCATCTTTCCTTCAATCCTTCCTCAAATATTACTTCCTCTATAACAGTGTCCATCAGCCAGTTCCGTATTAATCCAACAGTGATTATGGATAATCAAAAATACTTCTTTACAAGAGAAAGCTCTGAAAAAAAACCCAAAATTGTCCTAAGAAATTTGTGATAGTCGAGCTACATGCATACCTTTTCATGCAAAATGTCTATTTACTTTCCCTTCCTTGGTAGTTTGTCAAAGATGTGCTAGCAACATAAAAATCATTAAAGCTGAGGGAGTAACAGGTCACTGCTCTTGGACTGATTCTTCAACTCTAAGATCACTGGAGTTGTAGAAGCAATCAGAAAAGAGGTAACATTCAATTAAAGTCAGGTGTTGAAGCATTTTAACACCTGCAAGCCACAGAATTTATCATCAAATACTCTTGGTAATACGTACTTACTAGCTGCAGTCCTTAAAAGTCACAGCAAGCCAGTTTGTCTGCAGTATACAAAACATTTTGTTGGAAGTCCACAGCCAAGCTCTACAAAGGGAGCCAGCAAGCGTTCCTTAGCAGTCATATCTAAACTTCCTTGCAGATGAGTCACTTCAAGAATTTAAAGTCTGATATCCAACAACCCACTGAAGGAACTCTAGTAGGAAAGGAATACCAGAAAGCTGGCACTCTGCCAGCCTTAAAAAGTCCCTTTTCCTCTCAAGAAGAAAAGCAATCCACGTAACTAGAGCTCCCATCTAGAGCTTTTTATTTTATTTCATATCAGACCAATACTGACAAAAGATCTATTTGGCATGCATACAGAGACTTATTAAAACTCTTGGGAAGGTATTTTCCGTGCTGCTTTCTTACACATATAGCAGACGGTATCTGCCATGACACTGGTGCTTTTTCTAAGTTCTAGAAGCAGAATGGTCTATTTGGCAGTGAAATGTCAAAGCTGTGTTAACAGCTTGTTTGTCCAGCACGGTCTCCCATCTGTAGTGACTGCCTTGAAGTACCACCCACTGTGAAATCACAGTGCAAACCAGCTAGTGTCCTGGAGGATGACAAAGAAAGGACAACTGAAACAGTCATGTTGCTTCTTGGCTGCATGGTTATAGGAGCTGTTGATAGAACCAGAAATGTCTCCCCCAGCTACTACTCAGACTCTCATTACATGAGCTGTTCCTGAAACAAGCAGCATTAGTTTAGCATTAATGTCCCTTAAGAGGTCCTATAAGGCAACAGTGAAGCCCAGAAAAAAATTTTTAGTTAAAAATCAGGCCAGATCCAACAGCCAGAGAGAAGCAAGGCTGCTGCAGTTCCACATCCCCAGGTCCAACTAGTGTTGATGCTGAGCAGGCACACAGATACACCAACAGCCACACTGATCAACACAGACAGCACCAATGGTCTCATCCTACTCCCGTTTGGGATAGATCTATCTCCCCCAGCTGCTGGTACCACAGACACACAGGGACTGCTGGTCCCACTCCTGTGGCTGGCACATTCTTTCACCCGACTACAGTCACGGGCATCCAAGTAGAAGGGCCCTATTAGAGCCCTGGGAGACCCTTTCTCTGCGTCTGTAACTTGGGTTCCTGCTTGCCCTTGGGCGTCTCTGCTCCTCTGAGATCGTGGAGAGGGGTCTGTGATGGGCTGATGACTTCCACATGGGCCTGGGAAGAGCTGGGCTAGGGTATTATTAATGCTCCCCCACGTGCCATTACCTGGTTCCTTTGTGGGCATGAGCAGAGGAGCTTTTCAGGCACATAACCTCACAAATTACGTCTAGGAGGCAAAGCAAATACACCATTCTTTGTTACAATCCAAGTTACAGATAAATACCCTCCTCTTTAACCAGCAATAGGCAGAAATACCTTCTGTCCCCAGACAAGCTCTACAGCAGAAACTCTATGAAGCAAGTGAAGCAGAACAACAGCAAGGAAAGAATTATGTTCTTTGTGTGATTACTACAGTTTCTCTAGTATCTCTTTCAGATATTTTGTTGACTGTGGCTAATAATAGTTATTGTAGAAAGGCTGTTTTTATACAGAAAAATGGAACCTTAAATTCAAGGTCATAACTTGTAATCTCATTTCAGGAAAACAAACATATGAATCATATGGAGTTAAGTACTTTTACTCCCAAAGCAAAGCAAAACACTCAAGTCATCTTTGGACTTGCTCCTTGCTTGCATTACTTTGTGACACGTACTTCAGAAACTTGTTCTTAGTATGCTGCCATTTTATATGGGGGGTAAGAGAAGACGCTGTGCATGTCCATCTCCTGAAAGAGCTCTGTGTAAATGCCTCAGCACCACATATTCTTAATTCTTCTGGCTGAGCCAGCCAGAAGACATATTCTTTCTGTACCTGAAAGAATGGCCCCAACTGTTGCTAGGAAATCCACTTCCAACACAAATCCTGAGTTTGGTCAAGTGCTGGTAGCAAGCCTCCTACAAGCTCTACTGAACATGACTGAGCACCAATCCTCTGAAGGACAATGTTACCTTTCTTCAGAAACACCCCCGTCAGAGAGCCATTGTGTTCTACTGCTCTGCAGGACAGTACTGGATGGGTCAAAATTTACTGATAAGTCATGTTTTCAGGAAATCTTAGAACCACAGAATGGTCTGGGTTCGAAGGGACCTTAAAAATCATCTAGTTTCAACCCCTCTGCCATAGGCAGGGACACCTTCCACTAGACCAGGTTGTCCAACCTGGCCGTAAATACTTCAAGGGAGGAGACACCCATAACCTCTCTGGGCAACCTGTTTCAGTGTCTCACCACTCTTATATGGAAGAATTTCTTCCTTCTATCTAATCTAAATCTCCCCTCTTTCAGTTTAAAACTGTTGTCCCTCATCCTATCACTACACACTGCCTGATAAAGAGTCCCTCCCCATCTTTCCTGTAGGCCCCCTTAAGTACCAGAAGCCCCTATATGGTCTCCCTCGAGCCTTCTCTTCTCCAGACTGAACCACCCCAACTCTCTCAGCCTGTCCTCATAAGGGAGCTGCTCCAGTCCTCTGATCATCTTCATGGCATAGCTTCCTCTGGACCTGCTCCAACAGGTCCGCATCCTCCTTGTGTGGGGGCCCCAGAGTGGGACACAGTACTGCAGGTGGGGTCTCACGACAGAGGAGGAGAGGGGTACAATCACCTCCCTCGACCTGCTGGCCACAGTTTTCTTGATGCAGCTGAGTATACAATTTGCTCTGTGGGCTCAGAGTGCACACTGAGTCATGTTCAGTTTTCCATTCTCCAATACCCCAAGCCCTCCTCTGCAGGGCTGCTCTCAATCCACTCATCGCCTAGCCTGTATGTGTGCTTGGGACTGCCCTGACCCATGTGCAGGACCTTGCACTTGGCCTTGTTGAACTTCATGAGGTTTGCACAGGCTCACCTCTCAAGCCTGTCAAGGTCCCTCTGGATGACATCCCTTCCCTCCAGCGTGTTGACCGCACCACACAGCTTGGTGTCATCAGCAAACTTGCTGAGGGTGCACTCAATACCACTGCCATGTCCCCAACGAAGATGTTAAACAGCACTGGTCCCAGTACTGACCCCTGAGGAATGCCACATGTTGATGATCTCCACTTGGGACATCGAGCCACTGACCACAACTAGTGCGACTATCCAGCCAATTCCTTATCCACTAAGTGGTCCATCCATCAAATCCATATCTCCGGTTTAGAGACAAAGATGTCATGTGGGATGGTGTCAAAGGATAGATTATCTTCTGATACTGTCTTGTGCATGTCAGAAAATGGGACACTAGACTACAGGAATCTCTGGCCTTGACCTTACGCTCTTACAGATACCTGTCATCATCTTCAATAGGATAGAATGGTTCATTATGTAGCAGGCATCAACATGGAAAGCAAACCATTACCGTTTTGACTGAAATACAAGCAATTAAAAACGGATAGCTGTAACAAAACCATTAAGCAATCTGACACACAGAGATCACTAAAAACTCTAATATAAATAAGAACACATTTTCTCAAAGCAAGTCAGAAGATGTATTTCATTCAGTATTACATGTCTGTGTTTTCACTTAATTTAAAAAGAAAATCGTTCTCCACTGTGGTGAGAAACAGTCTTCTTCTAAAAGGGCAAGTAATGTCATTATTTTAAAACTCAGAAAAACCCATTGCTAACTAGGAAACTACTTTCTTGCAGCCGTAAGACAGATTTTCCTCAGAGAACAAGCTCTTGGCTACTATATTCTGCTTGCTTGCTGAAGCAGAACTTCCTGACAATTATCACTAGGCAGGTCAACTCAGCTATGCAGCTTTTGATTGCCCTGGATGCTTCAATAAGTGATCCAATTCTCCTAACACTGAGTAACAGAAACACATTACAAATACTGAGTAACAGAACAGGGAAAAAGGCTTTTAGTGTTAAGACAAACTACTTTTTAGTGACAAATGCCACATAAACTGTATTAGACCTTTCAGAATCACAAAATCTCTGTCCAGCTGATGTTGCCAGGACAGCAGTATTACACAGGGCACATACCAGAAACTTAACTGTGTTGTGAGGAAAAAAAAAAAAAAAAAAAAAAAAAAAAAAAAGGAACTTCCAAACTGGGAGAGCATTAACACAAAAAAAGCCACCCCCCTCTGCAACTTTCAATACCAAAAAGACCGTGCACTGAGTTCTCTCAATTTAAAGCACTTCAAATTCAGTGCTTGCAATTGGTATTTTCAGGTTAAAGATGCATCCAAAACCAAAGAACTACCTTGTTTCGTAGTTCACACATTCACTTTACAGCAGTCCTGGCTGAAGAAAGAAATATAAATTAGAAGGAATAAGCTGTAATACTGCATGCTGAGACACTGAAAAGTAATTTCATCTTTAAAATAAAAGTATATTCACATACTCCTACATGTACTTGACACATTATTTTGAAATGAGAAACTCTAAAGCTTTAGAATTCTTGCGAAGTTAAATTAAAAATATTCAACTTCATAACTGATTTTCCTCACCAGAGTTTAAGAGTTCTTCAGTTAATGAAACATCACCACGAAAGAGAGCCTTCTTTAACATTTCCTTCTTGTCCGCTTGCAACATTTGATCCAACTGCTAGTAATGAAAGAAAAGTTAAGTAAAAACCTAGTAACTGTTTCAAGGTAAAAACTGCAGTTTGAGTTCAGTATAAAAGCACTGATGAACTCTGTAAGGACAAAGCTGAGAAGAGGGGTGGGGAGAATAAGATGAAACTTTCCTTCTTCCACCTCTGTAGACCTGCTTAGGGTCTACTGTAAAACATTAGTTTTAAAATTAACTTTTCAGAAAGGTTCCATTCTCTGAAAATGTTAAGTATCTTCTTCCTCAAAAGACATGCTATGCTGCTCTTAGGTTTTTTTAATGCTATTTGATTTCAATTAAGATTCTTTTTCATCTTTTGGTGCTAGAAAAACATTGCAACATATTTCTGTACCTTTGTTGTACATTTCACATGTTACACAGCACAGCACTAAGAAATGCATCTCTCAGACATAAAAGTCAGTTTGGGGCATTGTAGCTCAATGACTAATTGTCTGGCTTAATACAAAATGATACAACATGAATCCAGAGCTGGAAAGGGTTGCCACTCCTTTTTCGTTCTACTCCTGTGGTGGCATTGAAGCATTTGTGTTGCTGCATCATAAACAATCTGGCTGACAAATCCTCTGACCAAAGGACTAGTTTATACATCAGTTTTGCCTGACTCAAGTTCCTTTCAAAAGTATCACAGATTTGCATTGTGTTAAAGCTGCAGGTGCATCTGAAGACTGTTGCTGGCATTATCTAGATTAACAAAACACATACACTAATAAATTGAGAATTATTCACTAGTTTCTTTACAGACAGAAGTGGGTATGTAAAGAAGAGAAATTGCATTTCATTGTAAGTTTTGAAGTCACAACATGAGAACTCAGAATGATACAACTTTCCCCAGCACACTGTAGTTTATATTTCCTACAGCATGTGTAAGTCTTTAATACGTGCTTAGTGCATAGAAAACCAAAGTTGAGAAACAACCATTATAATAATTTAGCCCTATTTTTGCACTACTCAGCCAGAGTAGGATAGGAACCTCAAATTACAGATCAAGGTCCCTGAAAAACTGGCTAGAACCTTTACAAGAGTACTGCAAGTATTGCAAGTATTCAGTTACTTCCATTTTCTAACTCCAGCCATGAGATAAACCAATGGTTAAAAAGCCTTGCAGAATCTGCCTCATATTCTCAGATGCCTTACACCTATTAGATACAATAAAATCACTTGAACCTTCACATTAGCAAGAAACAATCTCACAGATTTAAAACAGCTTTATAGATCTCCAGTTGCTTTCAGATTTATTCTTATGTGAAATAGGGACTGAGGTTTGTTATTGAGAAAAAGTGCTTTAAATAAACATTAAAGTTTTACATAAGACAAACCCTCAAAATTTAGGCTTTATTTACTCCTAGACTAGCGGCACACCACCATTAACCTGCTAAGAAAGAACCCCGGAGGCCCCAGCCGCAGCCCCTCCCGATGCCACCCTCCTCAGGGAGACCCACCGAGCCCCGCTCCCCTCACCGCGGTTTCAGGCCGACGCCACTTCCCTCGCGTTACCCGACCCTGAGCCCGCCCGCAGGCCCCAGCCCGAGGGCACCGGGAGCGGAGAGACCTCGCCCCACCTGCGGTTCATCCCGCACGACGCCGATGTCCCAGCCAGGTGGTAACATTTACTGGGTGTAATAATAAACCACTTTTGTAGCCATGTCAGTTCTTATAAAATTTTAACTTTTATTCTCAGAGTTTTCAGTTTTCTGATCATTGGCCTGAAGATTTCTTGTGTCATTTTCTGCCTGCAGAGGAAAAGTAGAATTTATGGCATTGTCATATAGCTTCTTTGTATCTCTATGAGTCTACCAGTTGTCAGCGTTATAGTCTCCATATCCAGGATCAAGTTTCCATAATATTCTTTGTTTGGGTCAGCTGTGTTGCAGAGCATGGGCTTGCTAGTAGAATTTTTATCCT